CGTATTTGAAGCTAGAAGATGATATGGTTATATGGTCCAATGGCAGGAATAACTTGGCCATTTTATTATCCAAAATATGTTGAAGTCGAATCACCATGCTCTTACTGATGACCTTTAAAGTTATAGATGTCAAACAAAAAGGTGTTAAGTTATAACAAGATGATTGGCATGAGAACTTTAGTTGATGCAGAGAAGTAATAACAATGGTCTTCTCTACTAAAAGAACTTTGTATAGCAGCAATAACTTCCTTTCTCGCCTCCTATCATGTTTTGTAAAAAATGAGCAGAAAATCCATCATGTTTTGCAAGAAACTTTTGCATTTTAATTTGGGGCTTTTATATACATACCACTCCAAATTCCTATGTATTTACATATCTAATACCTCGATTTTACTTTCTTTGATTTATATCGCCCAAACCTCTCATGTCATCACTAGTTTAGCATGAGCAAAATGGTCGCCACCAATTTACTAATATGAAACAATATTTGCATGCATCTCACTTGAAAGGTGCATCATATTATACTGTGCTTAAAGATATAAAAATTTTCACAATCCCAAAAACATAGGAATGAAAACATAACAGTAAATTGTACATAAAATTTCTAAAATAAAGAATGACAGGTTCATTTATGATTGATTGATATCATCCGCTATTTGTTCTCACAAAGCTGCCATCTTTGATGCACCTTCACCCTCTCGACTGTATGCATTGTGTGAATCCATTTCTTTTTGTGACATGGTACATCCCACATGGTATTCGAATGCTTTAGGTGGGATCTGAAGCGAATCATCTTTTACGATGGCGAATTCTGCATCCAATCTGGAGTGGTGCCGTCGAATGAAATTGTGTAGTGCCATAGTGCCCACTACTATCTGTACTTGCTTCGGAAATGAGTAAGCCGATATATCACGTAATATAACTCACTTTTTTTTCCACACTCCGAAAGCTCTTTTGATTACATCAAGCAATGATGAGTGTCTTTTGTTAAATAATTCTTTATTGCCTAGTGCTACCCCGTTTGATCTTTTAAAATTGGGGATGTGGTACTTCGTATCTGGATAAGGCTTCAGGTATCTGGATAAGGCTTCAGATACAAGGCTTCAGATACCCCCTTTGTAAGAGATATCTGGCGTCGACCAAGTAGTATTTACCTGTTCAATTACGGTAATTAGAAACTGAAAAAAATACCAAACATAGTTGCTGTAGATAATGAGCTGGAGGTGAGTACGGGAAACCATGTCTTTGGTTTCTAGGAGCAAACTTGAAAACATGGCTATCGTGCGCGCTCCCTTCTCACCTAGCCATCACAAAGATAAAACACATATTAAAATCACACACGACCATAACATTTTGTGTGGGGGAGCCACACCGTCCGATGTACGCAACATTCCCTGTACCAGTAGACGTGCATCAATGTGTGTTCCATCAATAACTCCAATACAATCCTGAAGTTAAAGCTATAACCCTTTAGCAATTGGCATGTATATCAATTTCATGTACGAATGTTATGTTAAAGACATACATTGAAGAATGACATTTATCGAGGGTCATCTGCAACTTGTGATATAATGAATTAGAATGTTGGATCCTCGGGCTTAACTATCTTGCACGCCAAACTCACCAGAGAGTTTAAAACGATTGAGAAATACCTGCGAATGTTTCCGATGAATATTGGAATAGCTCCATAGCTCCTTTAATGGATTCATTTTGAGATAAGATGTATAGGGTTATTGTCAACAATTTTCTTGTCATCTTTCTTGCTGAATCGTGCAACCCATAAAGGCTCCGGAGTTCATTAAGCAGGTCAAGAAATATTTCTTTCGTCATACGGAACATATTGGAGAACCGTGTGGGGTGGCTCTGTAATAACTCACCTACCTTTCTATCCCCAATCTGACTTGACGTCATACAAGAGGTTCGATCGACATACGTAAGATAGTAATAGTACAACAATGTAATGATTAGTGCGACTTTGCGGTTGTGGATAACTTGTTCTTCATCCATACTACAAAATAAATACAAAGATAATTTATAAACTTGATAAATAAGAACATTAGAAATTGTGGCGAAACATAAAGGTGCAATGATAGAAAACAAAATTAGTGCATAGTAGAATATAAGATATGATATTGTACCACCATGAAAAAATGGTAAAGTGTCCATGACAGAAATATTAAACAAAGCTATAGAAAATAAAATACATAATATCTTAAACAGTCAATTATTCATGAAAGAGCGTAAGTATTTGAGTCGGAATTTCAGTTTCAACTTTATAAAAAACTGTCTTATGGTTGGGTCTCGTAGCAACTTCACGTAATTTAAATAGCCTTATGTTTTCGCCTTAACAACAGGATATGTATTGAAGACTTGGAGACATTCCTCAATTAAGCTATCCTGCGAGGGAAAATACCTTCCTTTGTAGATTTCAACCAGTGTGTTAATGGTGCCTTTGATGAATGCGACTCCTTTTTTCTGTCCACCCTGACACACTTTGACACGCTTGTGGATTGAACATTTTTGTGGACTTGGCTGAGACCTTCTTCCGACTCACCTATCTGCACGGTTTCCATGTCCTGTGGTAAGCTGACAAACCTCTGCTCATTTGGGGTGAATGCATGAGCTTCTGTTGCGACAACCTCATTGAACATGTCATCCAACTTCTCCTCCAAAATTGGATCAATGCCAGTAAATTTGAATTTTTTGGCTGACGACACAACTTGAAATAGATTAAAAATTTTATTAGTGAAATCACTTCAATGTGAAATTTGATTCAAGATGAAGTAATATTAGATATTTACCTGTAATTTCTCAGTCCACCAATCCTCTGGTGCATCTACTGTCTGCTTTACTGGATCCCTACCCAATCTCGTTGATCACCTTTTGAGTTCTTTCTATATTATCCAATCATTTTTTAATTGATCTCACTTGTTTTTCAGTTTCATTCGATCGTAATCCCTTCCGGTCAGTCCTTTGAATTTAACCATAAGATTTTGCCATCATTCTTTGTTAAAATAGGTGGTGGGCCTATTTCCCATCTCAACCTCCCTCAAACATAGATCACAAAATATAATAGTGACATCTCTATCTTACATGACCGATGATCCAACCTCTTTAGCTTTATTCATTAAGTTCTGTCAGATTAACGAATAAGCGCAAATTATTTCTTTTCATAACAAAAAATGTCCCAACAGAAAGATAAGTAATGTAGGTGGTTGACATGTGAAGGCAAATTAAGAATATTTTTAACATGCCTAAATGTAATGCAATTTGATCTTTTAAGGGATAATGTATGTAAAAGAGGATAGGTAGAACCTCCTAAATCTAAAGCATCGATAAGGAAGTGATACTGTCAGAGGTATGCAAATTTCATTTCTCTTTGATGAACAATCAAATTTTGACCAACGTTCGCACAAATAATATTGATCAAGCATTATAAAAATATGTTCTTCGTTCATTTTAATTTTTTTAACAAATAATGGAATTGAAAAAAACAAGAATTCCTCTCATCAAAGACGCATTAACCATAACCAAACTTTGGCATGCAAAGGAAAACAAAAATTTATTTTACTCTTCAAAAGCCTTCTTAATAATGAAAATATGTTTATTTGAAGATATCATTATTTCATTTTTACTCCTTATTTCAATGAGGAAATACATTTAAACCAAAAAGGGAGAAATTGACATAAAAAATCACCCAATTCCTTTGTGTTTACATTGGTATAACACTTGTAAAAATTTTTTTTTCTTACATTTTTATTATCTAAATCTTTGATATCACGAAAAATACGTCTACAAGAACTTTTATAAGGTGAAACACACCTTTGAAGCACAGGTAAGTGACAAATATGTATAAATTGAACTTTAGGTTTTAGATATGTAAATCCATATGGATCGCGTGGTATGTGTGTAAAGTTTCTAAGAGATGAAAAGCTAATAAAATGCCAGAAAATTGGTAATAAGTTGCAAAGAAATTGCTGTTAGCAAATTGCAAGGAGTACTCCTTCACGCAAATAGGATATAAATTTCAACTCAATAAAAAGGTTCTGCATTCAACTCCTCTACTCAAACAGGAGATAAATTTCAGATCTCTTACAAAGTCCCTTTCAGTTAGGAAAGAACTGCGATTTGCAGTTCAACTTTAAAAAAAAAATTTCATTATCGCAACCATATTATTTTTATGTCGCTTTGCAGATCTACAGAAAAAAAAGCGATCCAATCAACATTTTCCGAAGGACTACAAAAGCCGAAGAAGGAAGATTAGACATGCGAAGGAAGAGTTATACATGTTGAGAGGAAATGCAGAAGGAGTACAAATGTCGAAGAAGGAAATGCCGAAGGAGTGAAGATGCGAAAAATGAAGAGGAAAACGCACCGGATCGTAAGAAGAGGAGCGCTTATGACATGCGAAATGCGAAGGAGAAAGGCTATATGCGAACGAGTTCAGGGTCATGGGAGTAATAATCCGAACGCGGTCGTTCCGCGGGCCGCTTGCTTAACAACTTAAGAACGGGGTTTTTGAATAAGCTGCCAATAAGTGTGAACCAAACAGTACGACAGCGTTTTCAAAACGCCGCCCGCACTTATAAGCTGCCCCAAATGGGTCTTTAAAAACGCCGTCCGCACTTATAAGCTGCCCCAAATGGGTCTTTCATTGGAATTTAAGCTAATTGAGGTGTCTGGGTAGGAGAAAGATAGAGGTAGATCTAAAAGGACTTGTACATGTAAAAAAAATGATCTTAATTTTTTAGAATTAAATGAAAATATGGCACTCATTAGGACACCATTGAAAAAAAAAAAAATTATGTAGTCGACCCCACTTAGTGGGATAAAGGCTTGTTGTGTTGTTGTGATGTGCTCTCTGATTACACTTTAATTATCTTTGTTTCTGTTTTAGTTGTATTTATTCTTCTTTTCTACTAATTAATTTCTGCAATAAAAACTCGTTTTGTAAAATATAAAGCATGTAAACAATTCATTCTATCTCCTTTAATTGCTAGGAATGGTCATCTCGGGATGGAGGTTGCTAGGGTTCTTGGTGGCGGCCTTGTACCAGGTAGGCTACAGCTTCTTTTCTATTATTTTTTTAAGTGTTTTATATGCTTGTTTCGTGTGTTTTTGTTATGTATCAATACTGGTGATTGGAATGTCCAATATTGACTTCAGATTTTGCTGGTTAATAAGATATTTTAAATGCCATTCTTTTGGGGAGGTTTACTTTCAGTGGCGAAAAATTTCTTTTAAAAAGTCATTATTCAATGTTTTTAACATTTTTTTCTCTTTATAAGTTGGCATTGTAGAAGTAGTATTTAGGATACAATTAATTTGATACACATTTGCCACCATTGCAGCTGCGCCAAATTAGGGTTTAATACTTTGGAAACTTGATATTTTATAATACTCTTTATTGTATATTGAAAAACTTATTTTTAATTAATGGTTCTATGAATAATTTGTCATTGAATTTAGTTACAAATTTATTCATCTTGTGACTTCTAAATTAATCAAATTGATAAGCTATGTTCAATATTAGAATTATTACATAATCCATAATTAGTTAGGCTTGTAAAAAAATAAATTAATGTACTAACTAGTTTAAAATTGTTCAAATTCTACTAATCATACTAATTTAATATATAATAATTAAATGAAACATAACTAATTTGCCTAATTAATTATTTTTGAATTAATTTATGTATAATTAGCCATATTTACTATCATCTCACAACCACCGTCATCATTAGCATTATCTCAAGTGTTTAGGTTGGGTTTATGAATTCTCATTCTCCATTTGTCCACCTCGAGCTCTGAATATTGTGTTAAATTCATTTTTGACAAATATTTTTTTCACAAATTCTATCGAGGTCACCTTATTCGTAGCTGATCTTTTCCTTGATCTTTTAACATTAGCTTCATCCAACTAATCTTATTTGTGCTACTAGTTTTAAATAATCGAATCACCTAAGTCTATTTTTTAATTTCATATTTTCAATAGATTCTAATTACACCATCCCTTGAATTATTATTTTGTGAATTTAATTCCTCTAAATAGTTTCTATTTAACTTTCCTTCATTACATTTAGATTATTTGATTATTAATTTGTGCGAATTTGAAGGTGACTTCCTTATTTTTTTTATGTACTCGTTTAAAATGTAAGCTTGTTTCTTTCCACTTTTACAGTAAAAAACATATGTACTCAATTTTGGAATTTAGATTCAGGGCCCGTATGGGGCACAACTTATTTGGCGTGGTATGTTCTGACAACGTCGAATGAAGCGTTTGGAAATAGCAATAGGACAACGTTCCTTAAAAAATTATGTTAAACGCAGGCCGCGGGTTTGACCCTATGGCCCGCGTTTCTTTGCGAACTTAATAATCTACTACCCTCACCATTGCTCTCTCACCGCTGCCCTTTCTCTCGCTTTTCTTTTGCCCCAGTCACCGCTCTTTCGATCGCTCCTCTCTCGCGCCTCTCTCAGGTGGTAAATGGTTGCTTTTCTCCTTTCCCTCTTCCCTTCGATCTCTGGTGGCAATGTGTTGCCTCTTTACTCTCCCCTTTCTCTCCGATCTCCGGCTCTCTCTGTTTTCTATGGTCTCCATCCTCCCACGGTATCACCTATTTTTTTTTTAATGGAATGACTTTCTTTTTGCGATTTGTGGCTTTCTCATTTACGGTTTGAAGTGAGAATTTGAATTTTGCTATTTTTGATTTTCTCTTTATGATTTGGAATTTGGATTTTGCGAATTTGTGGCTTAATGTGATATGAAATATATCTTTGATGTTTGAGTGAGAATTTGAGATGTCTGAAAGAGGGTGCTTGATTTGTTGATAACAACATACGTTGGTTTGTGTGTGGAGGTGGTGGCTGGTGTGTGGTTGTGTTTGTATTAGAGGATGTGTTGATTGATGTATGGATGTAGTGGTTGGTGTGTGGTTGTGCTGTGTTAGAGTATGTGTTGGTGGATGGGTGGAGGTGGTGGTGTTGCGGAGATGGTGGTTGGTGTGTGGTTTTGTTTGTGTTAGAGGATGTGTTGGTGGATGTGTAGAGGTGATAGTGTTGTGGAAATGGTGGTTGGTGTGTGGTTGTGTTTATGTGGAGGTGTTGTTGTGTGGAGATGGAGGTGGATGTGGAGGAGGTGGTGGTGGTGGTGGTGTTGTGGATGTGTTGGTATCTTGTTGTGTTGGTGATTGGAGGTGGTGGCAGTGGTGATGTGTAGGTGGTGTTGTGTGTGGTGTGGAGGGGCATTGGTGACGATATTGTGACATTTCTATTTTTTTTTTGAGTTGCGATATTGTGATATTTCTATTTATGTTAATTATTTTTTTCATGTTAGTAGTATAATGGTTAAAACATAAAAGACTGGTTCATCTGCAATGTGTGATAAAAAGACAAAATTAATATTTTGCGACTTTTAACTCAATGAGGTCGTATTGTGAAATAGACTGACAACTTATTTCAACAAGAAAGACTGACAAAATATTATTATAAAATTCAAGAAAAGTACAGACTGAAAGTATGATTGTACGCAGTTAAAAAAACAAGTGGAATCGACCAAAGAATTATTAAGAAATCTGGAAGGAATTGAAGTGACGATCAACGGACTTAGGGTAGAATCCAATAAAGCGAACAATTGATGCTTCTTAGAATTGGTGGACAGAGAGACTGACGGTGAGCATTTTTGAGATGTCTCCTTTTTTATCAATTTTTAATTTGTTTTCAAATCCAACATGTTATATAAATTTGTAGATGGTGCTTGTTGCAAAAAAAAAATAAATAAATACAATGAAATTGGTCCTGAGCTGGAGGAGAAGTTGGATCATATGTTTGGAGTCGTGACAATGGGCAAAAATGCATGTGTCCACTGTGAGGCAGGTTTGGTGGTATTCTCTGAAATTTGGGAGTTTATCAAACAGGTGATTCTATTAAAGGCCTCATCCCGGACCTCCGAGAAGTTGAGTCAACGAGCCAATCAAAGCATCCCCAGGTTGGAAAAAAAAAGGGGGAGTTGTTTTCCTTAAAAGTCAGATCTCACAGTTGGTGGCTTCATGTACCTTTGACTCCGACCCATCACAATCAACTTCTGTCTTGCTGGTTATGCGAATTTTGGATGCAACTCTAGAAATTTACGAGGACATACCGCTGTATTTGTTCTCTATGAAGTTGTTTGAAGATTCGACCCGGAGAGTTTTTTTCATAACATGCTTGCTGACTGTAGGGTGAATTACCTACTTTATTGTCACGGTAGTGATATTTAAGATTTTTTTTTTATATTTGTTATTTTTTATTAGATTCTTTTGAAAAATTTCATATTTGTTTTTTGTTTATTTATTTCGGATATTTTGATTTATTTATGGTTTTTCATGCTGCTTTGGACATGCTACTTTATTTCATTTCTCGTTATGTTTTCTATTTACTTCTGTAATGTTTACTTCTGTAATTTCTGTAATGTTATTTGCTTATGTTGGTTTTGTTCGTAACCTTATATGATTGTTATTAATTTATTGATGCTTATGTGTTAGTCACTTCAATACCGAAATACATGGATCCAACTAGAGAAATGCACAAAAGGAGAGTTGTAGTTGCATTATGCTTGATGTACGATTATTATAACTCGTAAATAAAGCGCTCCCCTTTCATGGTATTCTCATAAGCTTGGGACAAATGGGTTGGGGTGTTGCTTGTGGGCCATCCAACGAGATTTAACTATATGTTTTGCATGACACAGATGATATTTTCCGATTTGTTGGAAGAACTACACAAAAACATAGACTTCATGACTCTTCCATAACAACTTCACGAGAGCTGTTAGCAATAAACCTATATATATTATCGCAAAATGAATCAATGCGAGGAGCTATTGAACGAATTCAATACTCTTCCGAAACGATTTGCAAATACTTCTTAGTAGGGTTGAATGCACTTGTCACTTTTTCTTCAAAAATCATGAAACCAACAGATCCTACATTCGAATGGACCCTCACAGAAATTTCGTACGATACACGATGTATGCCATGCTTTAAAGGTAATTTATTCTATTTATTTCATTTAATTTTCATATAATTTTTGTAATTACGTAATCATTCGTTTTTTTTCTAAAATTATATTAGAGCACTCGATGGAAAATGCATTGATGCACGTGTTTCAAATAATGATATCACATTCATCAGTCGTTGTGGATCCCCGACACAGAATGTCATGGCGGTATGCAACTTCAACATTTGCTTCACATTTGTCATGCCCGGTTGGGAAGGCAGTCAAATATTCAAATCTGCAATCGGAATAATAAATACAACTTCTCACATTCACCCACAGGTTCTCTTGAGACTAAGCTACTATCTTAACTCTTTTTTCTTTTAACACTATTTATTCATTTCATATCAGGTAAATATTATTTGGTCGATGCTGGGTATCCGTTGTAGCGAGGATATCTCAAGCTCTATCTTGATACGGGATATCACATATCTGATTTTAAGCAAGTCAACAATGTCACACGGGGCAAGAATGAAATGTTTAACAAAAGACATTCATCTTTATGCGATGTTATTGAGAGAAGTTTTGTTGTTTGGAAGAAGAAATGAGTTATTTTTTGTTATATGTCATTTTACCCGTTTCCTAAACATATACAAATTGTTATTACCACGATGGTTCTCTACATTTATATTCGACAACATTCTTCCTGCAACGACATCAACTTCCGTGGGGTGGAGGAGGATCATGAAAATGTCCCTGCCGAGACATATGAGTAACATCTTGGATAGTCTTTGTCACATGCCGAAAATGATGTTCCCGAGAGCTGCACTAAAGACAGAGAAGATGCAAACGAGATGACAAAGTTGAGGGAACGAATTACAGATGCGATAGTTGAAGGTTGATTGAAGGTTAGTTTTTATTATATTATTAATTGTAATGGTTGTTGAAGACATTCACTGTTATTTGTATCAATATTTTATGCAATTTATGTTTATTTCTGTTCCTTATGCATTTGATATTTACTGTTTTGATTTTTTACGCAATTTGTATGTGTTTTTCTTTTTGCATTTTTTTTTCTTTTGGTGGGTTTTAGAGGTTTATGATTAGACATTTGACTTTATATGTTCTTCTGAATGTCTTGTATGTCGCTATTGGTTGTTGTCACTTGTGAAATCTTGATGATGAAAATCAAGTTCCTTTCTTTTTTTCAGTGCTATGGTTTTTGAGGTTTTTCTGGATGATTTTTTTTATGATATACATATGTGCCACACAAGTGTTTGATATTATGTGAGTTAAAGACAACCATTAACTATCTTTTATAAGTTCTGCTGTACTCTTGTTGTCGTTGGTTTATATACTGAATTCTCTGAGACCTTATAGCTGCATAAAACTATATATAATTACTTCTGTTCTCAATTTTTACTTGTGCTATGTTTGAGTGTATGTTTTTTAAGCATTCAAGAAAGATGAGTTCAAGAATTTTTGGTACCTCCAGTGGATTGCACTTCTACTATGGACTTCAAAGTTCTCTGCCAACTTCATGTCAGCCATATGACTACGGTGAATCACAGTAAGCTGTGACTATTTTCGGTGGGCAGATAAGCTAGAACATTTCACCGTCGAGAGTGATCGGGCATGAAAAGTATCCCTGTAGGACAGCTTAGCTTGCAACATATACTGCCTGCATTTTAAAAATAATATTATCATATTATTAATTGTTATTTTAATAGTCTTTTTCTTAATTTTAGTAGTCACTCTACTCACTGTTTAGTGAGGCATCTATTTTTATTTTGTAATATTTTGTACTAGATATTTTCTTTTAAAATATAGAATTTGCTGGTCCGAGCAGTTCTGTTGCAAATAAGATTATTATACAGGGGCAAAATAGTAATTTGTTTAGAATTAGCTATAGCACAACTGTTTTAAAATTACAAAAAAAACAAACAAACAGTTAGCTTTAGCTTATCTACACTTCTGCGCAGTACCTTTCCACGACATGTGATACAGCCGACACTAATAATATTTCTGATTCTACTGCTTTTACTGATTCAATGAGCATGTTTATTAAACCTTTGCTTCCGTATACTATTATATATATATATATATATATATATATATATATATATTTATAGTATAAATGATTTGCATATAGTAAATGATTATTACATGAAACACGCTTAAAGGAATATCACAAGCTTTATGATAGATTGCTATTATATGAATAACTTGCAAATAAAGATGACAAGGAAATTATAAAATTCTTGACTCTTGATATTTAGACATGAACAGATCTTTTGGTATCAGAGGGGTTGTTGATAATTAATATGTTGGGAAATGCATAACTATCAATAGTTGTGTAGCCGACAGACTTTGTGACGACCCAATGATGAAATAAATTAAGCAAAATCTTATACAAATATAAGTGACAATTCTAAGATGGCAGTTATTGATTATTAAATAGTTAAAGATATTCATATAATTGTGTTGAAATGAATCAAATATATGCTTGTTACAACTGTCACTTTTTACTGCATTTTATACCCCTTACCTTAAATGTTTTATATGATTGAAATATGCTTGTGTTATGTACGGCTATCATGCATATGAATTACGGTTGAACATACATATTATTTTTTTTTTTTTCGTTTATAAAACCTTACTTTAAACTTAATTTTTTTGCCTAGTTTGTAGCTCATACATTTATGTCGTCGACTTTCATGAAGGAGTAATGAGCACCAGGGTGATTTACCACGTGTGATATTATGCAGTTTTTGGATTGTATAGTTTTGGAGGTTGTGAAGACTTTTGGCTACATAAGTTTATATGTTGGAAATGTTTTAGCGGCTTTGCATGTTTTGGTGAAAGCATTTGCATCTTCCAAGCAATTTTGAATTTAATGAATTATGAATTGAATTGAATTATGAATGTTTGCGACGATTGAGTGAGACTAATTCGTTACCCATGGAGTCTTTATTGGTGCAATTCAGAATTAGTCTTGGTGATAATTTTGTCTAACCGAGTCTTTCATCTCCATCGCATCATTGTTGACCCTAAATCGGGGGTAAGCTGGTGTATCATAGGAACCCTAGAATGGTGTCATTATAGCCGAAAAAGAGAGTTGAAGTCGAACTAAAAGTTATTATTTCTTGCACTCTTTTTTGTAAGAAGATGCTCTCGTATGTGAGATTGAACATTGATTTGTTTTCTTATTATGCCGACACACCAACAGAATTTTTTCTCTTTTCTTTTTCGGGAAAAAAAAAAACTATATATTTCTATCAAATGAAAGTATTCTTGGGAACAACTAGCTGTGTGGGCCCAAGTGTTGACTCTGTGGTATGGATCATTAACCATGCCTTATGGATATGTTTTGCTAATTTTGGGTAATTTTACTTTTTTTTCTTTTATAGTCTCTCACGTTATAATGGTCTGCTCTGGTAGGGCTAATGTATGCTATGGTGGACATTTGATTTCTTATTGAATGTTATAGGAACAAAAATTACATAATGACTACTGACAAATAAATAAGTCTAATTTTTGTTTTCTCCTTCATCCTTTTTTTAATTCATTTTTTTTTCTTGCGTGTGATTTAATTATATGTAAAGAGTGATTAAGGATTGTTTGTTATTGATATTCATTCACTAGCATGTGCTAAAAAAATCACTAGTACTAAACTATCTGTGATCTTGCACCATCTCAGACTTTGTCTTTCATACTTTCAAGTATGATATGAGGTATTTCCAACTATGTTGACTATCATTTTTTCTTTCTAAAATATTGCATGTAAGGGTGTGTGGGTTTGATCTATAATATGTATGCCCTTATAGTATGTTTAATTCTTTTCCATTCTTTGGTTTTTATGATAGCCTGTATATGGTCGTTTAGGGTTTGTATGCCCATACATGCTAGACTTTTATATAATCTTGTATGAATAAAACTTTGATTCCTAGGTTTTGATCAAGAATAGCTTGATGGAGTGAAGTTTCGGAAGCCATGCATAATGCATTGCAGTAGTTCTTCTCTTTCTAGGAAAAGTGGTGAAGAAGTGCAAAACTATGAGTGATAAAGATGATAGTTGTACGGTGAATCCAAGTATTAAGGAGTTTGCTGCATAAATCTTAACTAGAATTTTAGGCTTGAGGTGACTTCAATTCATATTTTCGTTGGACAATTTTGTTTTATAAAAACACCATTCCAACATGTCATGCTTCTAACCTTGCTTGGTTGTTGACACGATTATGGAATTGGATTTTCAGTTCAACCTTTGATCAATCAGGTTGATTTCTGTATTAAAATAAATAATTAACATGCTTAAAGCTATAGGTGAGATTATGCTATATTTTATTCCAAAAGTGCTTTATAATATAATTTAAACGTGCTCTTTGCATATTATTTGAAAATTATTTTATTCATTTAAAAAATGTTTTAAACTGTTTTTACCTTATTTTAAGTATCGCATGAAATAGATTTGAGGTTTCAGATCAATTTTTATGGGAGTCCAATTAAAAAAAAAAAATTATATTGTGAAGGTATATTGCCTTTGTCCAACCAGTTAAGTTTTAGCTGAAGCATTTGAGCAACGTACGCTGGCCTCCTCTATTCTCCGCCATTGATTCCTGATATTTCTTCTCAAAGAAAGTGAAAGAGAGCAAATTGCTTACAAGCGTGCACAAAGTAACCAAGTGTATATACAACTAGTCAATATGTCATAATCAACAAAAGTTCGTTACATCCTAACAATGGTTTGAGTTTTCAGTCTCATCCTCTTTACAATTAGACGATATAAGGATAATGCCGTAGAGTAATTAATGCTTAGTTTATAATATATTTTTGAGAGCTTTCCAAATAAGATATTGATTTAAATTTATTAGTTTTCCTTAGAAAGAATTTAACTTTGTATTCAAGTTAAACTACCATCTTAGTGGCAATCCTATATTATACATGTTATTCTGTACAACGACAGTTGTCTTGCTTAGTGTCTAAATAATTTAAGTGATAAATATTATTGAATATGTAATATTTGATTCTCATTGCTGCACTCTAAAATTATGCTTTCAAAGCTCAGTAGGAAACAATTATGTATAATGAATGCATTCATTTGAGTAAGTACACTTATGCTATTTGTTGGGATTTTATAATTCTCTTGCCACATTTGGTTTTTAGAGTTTATTACCTTGTCATTATTATTATGTAGTTGAGCGTTAACGCCCCTTACTAATTACTAGAGATTGGTTTGCTAATGCTTTTTATGAATATATTTCTTCAAATTTGTAGGCTCCTTAGTTTTACTTGGTGGTGACCCTGGTGTTGGCAAAAGCACACTTTTATTGCAGGTATTTGTTGTGAATATTTTCAGGGCATTTACATACATACCACTCAATTCCGAAGCATTTACATGTCTAACTCCTAAAGTTTGTTTTTTACAATTATAGGACCCAAATCTTTCATATCACATAAAAATACCACCATTTTAACCTTTTAAGATGTGAAATATATCTTTTCATGCATAGATATGGCGTTATGTATGTAAAAATTGAAGTTTAGGTGTTTGATGTGTAAATACATGGGAATTGAGTGGTATGTCTGTAAATATTCGTTTTTTTAATTGTCTTTTGGATGTCTTTGTTTTCTGAGGTTCTGGATCGGTAGTACTCTTTTTTTCTTTTACATTTAAATACTAGGAAAGATCCATACACTTATTCTAAACTATTCAGTATTTGCTAAAATCAATAATTTTCTCCTAGCAATGTAGATTGCCGCTATTATTTCTCAACGACGTAGTTCCAGGGGCCCAGCTCGTGTTTTATATGTATCTGGCGAGGAGGTATGTTTTCATTTTGATATTGGTTCTTTATCTTCTGAACAATCATCTTATAGATTGCTTGTATTATTAAATCAAAATATGACACTGAAATCTGAAAAATAGCATGAATACATTATAGGTTGACTAGTAAAACCTGCATGACTGAAGCTCAATGAGAGATTAGCAACGGCAATATAGTTGCTCTTTGGAAATGTAATATGCTTTGATATACATAGACACTTTAGTTCCTAAACGGACATTTAACCATGTTAATTTACACGAGGCATTCAAAGACAGCTGTTTTTATCGATTATTAAATGTTGGGTAAATTCAAAATATAGGGATTTTTATTCTGATTTCGCCCTATGGAAAGAGTTTGGTAACTTAAAATTTTCTTTTCCATTAGCTACGAGCACCTAGTGTTAGTTGACTATTCACAATAATAATTTACCTTCCACTGTGATTAGTAAATCTAGAGCATGTTTAAAATATTTTTTATTTTGTTTTTTATACCGGAGTTAATCCAAACCACTATGAAAAAATAAATATTATTATTCGAATCAAATAAGCGATTACAAGATAAAAAAAAAAGAAAATACAACCACAAATACAAAATACTAACAACTCAATTAAAGCGGATCCCAAGAGTGGTGACCGGTGAATGAAGTTGTGAGTAGGTCGTGGGCGCGATCGAGAAGGGAAGGGGAGAGTTGGTCGGCTGCAGGGAGAAAGTTGGGGGGGTTGTGAACTGCAGTGTAGGGGTTTTATGGGTTGGGGCAGCGATTAGGTGGTGGGGTGTTGGTTCAGCAAGGCCGGAACTACAACTAGGATGCGAGGGAAAGGATTCTGTGAGGTTGGGACAATAGAGAGGTGGTAGAAAATGGGTTGGTTGGTTGCTGGAAGGCGAGGACGAGAGATGCCAACAAGGTGGGAGGGAGTTGGGTGATAGGCGGTTACATGAAAACAACGAGGGTGTCTGCTGAGTGGCTGCAACGAGTATGGTGATGGAGGGGTCGATGAGAAGGGTGGTGGGATGCGGGACAATTAAGGGAGGGCTGTGCGGGGGCTGCAGTAGCCAGAGGGATGGCTGGAAAGGGGTTTTGGAGGGGTTGAATGGGATAAATATCCCCGCGGGATCGAGTTACAACCAGAGCACAACTCAAACTCTTAGAGAAGGCCACCACCTCTGGCGAGATACAACCAGAGCACCACTCATTGTCAGATACAACCTTAGAAGGACATACAACCACTGATGACAAGCTGAATAGAAAATTGAAATCAGGATGACCAAAAATTGAACCCTATCATAGCAAACAACATATTTATAATAAGTACTATTAGTTAAAATATGAATGAATTAGAGGAATGAAATAAAATTAGGAAGGGAATAGACAAAGTCAAGGGATCAAGTTGCAAGCTCTGCTACTTTACTGTGACCTAAGCTTCTGCTTTTCGGGGTTGGAGAGCTTCGACTTCATTTGTCAATGGTAACAAAGATATTGCAATACCCTGGAGGGTCGATCATGTAGGTGTTGTCATTCTATAACACATCCTGGTAGAATAAATATGCATCTTCTCTCGGCACATCATTAATTATAACTGCATATATATGTAGGTTCCTGCAATGTAACTCCTGAGCTCTTAAGTTCGAAACCTTCTTTTTCTATTTCCTGTACTTGGCTGAATGTAGCTGATAAACCAATATGAGGAGAGAAATCAACTCTGGGGTGAAATCTGTGGCAGACTGCACCACTCTCACTAGCAACCACTCAGGTGAGACCTCTTCTCCTTCACTGATTAGACCTCGATCCCATTAAATAATTTCCTTCCTCATCAATCTCCTAAGATAAATTTCTAGGATGGGCTCTCTTGTTTTGACATTTGATGATGGGTACGTACTGAACTGAATTTAACATCAGAATAATTCCATGTAATCTTCCCGATGTGACACAGAAGGGTCTCATCTCTGACATGCGGAACTTCCCTTACTAGAGGCAACGCATGGATGAATTTATGGATCTGAAAGGTTTGAATTTCTCTTATCCGGGGTTGTCTCGTGTCTGAACATCCAAGGACAGTCCTGCTGATGCTCCTCTCAATGCTTGCAAAATGTTAGCTCAGGGCATCATAATATTGTACTCTGCCGGAATGCCCCTTATATTAGAGTCACTACTTTTTAGAACAACTATTGTTACCTCAACTGGAATTTTTATCTTAGGGTTAACTGGAATCAATGACATGTCTTCCTTGTTTGCTGAAAATTGAGAATCATTTCTGAAGTTTATATTTTCTTCTGGATCATCATTTATTTTTTCAATTGGAAGCTGGTTCTTCTACTTTGTGTCCTCACCATTTTCAATTTATACTGTGTGATTACCTAATTTTTCAAGAACAACCAACTTCGTGATACAAATCACTCCCTGGGTTGTGCAGTCTGATTCAACATGCCCAAATCCGTGACACTTGCAACACTTTCTGGCTGGGGCAGATTTTGGGATGCGAATTGGCTCCATTTGTTCTCCACTTCAACTCAGCTTTTCCTCTAATGGAGTCAGGTTTGGATATTCTTTTGGGTGTAATATGAATGTAAGATCCTGAGACTGAGCGCTGCCTATAAGGCATAATGGCCGCTCTGTGATGCGGTTTATCCACTTTTGAAGCTAGAATCTGAATCTTCTATCTATAGTAAACTCATAGGAGCTAGCGCTAGATCTCTCACTTCATTTTCAGATTCTTTTGTTCTCCATGTGCTGGCTTTTTTCTCGGCCTCCTCCGATACTAGATTTCAAAACGTCGTGTCCCGTCTTCTACATCACTAAAGTTCTCCCAATGGAAAGGATTCAGATTCTCGTCTCTTGCTTCCCTTTGATTCTTCAGATCACGGTCGAGGGTAATCTTTCCTAGGGTTTCATTCTCATTATTCGCAAGCCTCCGCTGAAATCTGCAAATCTCTCACTGCATCTCCTCTCGGATAGGCTCGGGCATGTATCTTCTTGGTGGCATATGTATGGTTTAGGGTTGGGAGGTAAAAGAGGGGGTAGGAGACTCATTGAACGTTTAGGAAAACTAATTTCGGGTTGCTTATTTTGAAAATCAGGAAGGGGAAATCAAAGTTAGTCAAAAGTTGGCTATAGTTTGGAAATAAGAAAGAAAAAATTTAGTGGAGGTGACTTGGGTAGAGGGGCGAATGGTAGGAAAATTTAGGATAGGCCTAGGGTTAGATTAGCTTTGATAGCAAATATTACCAGAGTTAACCCATACCACAATAGAAATAAAAATTTTATTGCTGAATTCAAATAAGGTTACAACGACGACTTTTCAAACAATAAATAAATGATAACAAATAGAAAACGACACATGCAAACTCCCCTAAAGTGTATCTGAAGGTGGTGGGGTCGGTTAGGTGGATCAAAATGGTTGGTGAGGGTGGCGACAACAAAGGAACGCTGGTGGCAAAGAGGGGAAAGTGCAAAAATATAGGGACAACAAATATGGAGGCTATCTTGGGCGATGACAACGAAGAATGGGGGGTGGATAGCTATGGGACATCAGGAAGGAGATGTCCCTTGGCTGTCCTGGGCGGCAGCGACACAGTGGGAAGGTTGGGACAGCAGGGATGTGTGTTCTGTGTGGTAGCAAGGCTGGAAGGTAGGGGAAGGTGGCTGGTAGGCGGAGAATTGCAGAAAACAACAAACTGAGGGTTGTTTCGGGCGACTGCAGCGAGTTACGACGGTAGGGAGCAACCTGGGAGGATGTAAAAGGGAATAGGAGGAAAATAATCACCACCTTGGAAGAGAGATCCAGCCGAAGCACTACTCAATCCCTCAGATATAGCCCTAAAGGGGAAAATGTATGCCGACGATTATCTGGAATTAATCAAAATCTGAACCCTAAGACAACAAACAATATATTTATAATTAGTAGTAGTAGTTAGAATAAGAAGGAATTAGAATATGAAGGTAATAGAATATGTAGGAAATATAATTAGGAAGGAAATAGAAAAAGGCAAGGGATCAAACATGGAAAATGTATGCGGTACTGTAGCAGCTACAATACCGCGACCCAAGCTCCCACGTCAGTTTTTGTTTTCACTTTTATTGAAAAACTTGTTTTTTTTATTTATTAATAATTAAAAAATGCTCCCCCAATATTCGGATGTGGCCAATTTAATTCCAGACTTTTGCATTTTAAGCCATTTCTGCATTTTCGCCCAAACTTAAAATCATTTGATTTTTAAAGCTTCAATGCCTGCAGTGTGCGTCAAGACTATCAGAAGTTGTCATGGGTTCGAATCATTTCTAGAGAATTTTTGTTTTAGCATGAATTTTAAAGCAATCCCGAAATTAATGTTATTAGATATTTTATGCTCTTTAGTTAATTCTATAATGGCAAAATTTTGTTTTTTTTTTGGTTAATTTAGACTGTATGAATTGGGTTAGTTTAGTTCATAATAAGCTCAATCGGGTTCAATTGGCTTGTATTTGATTTTAATTGACATCAGTTAGTTTAGCCTGCTTAATATTGATAAGCAGGACAGTTGATTGTAGTTGATCACCGGTTCAGTGTTGTTAAATTGGTGCATAATTCTGCCATTTAGGATTAGCATAGTTTTCTCTTTTTGTTGGAGACCGACTTAGATCTGGATTTTAGTAGGATAATTTTGTTGATCTTAAAAGGAATTGGCATGATTTTGGGCATCCAGGTTCATCGGCTTCACTTTTTTTCTCATGATTAGATTCATTGAAGTTTTTTTGCTTGGACTGAACTTGGCTTGTTCGCTCAAACTGGCTTGATTTGGTCCTGTTTTTCCAGGTTATGTTTTGAATAAGGACTGAATACGCTAAATTCATGTCAGGCCTTATATAAGATAAATAGGGACTAAAATAGGTTGATTAATGTCAAATGTTTTTGGTTTGGTATATATTGGACAAAACCAAGTTAATTCTAGTCCCATTTGTAGGGTTTGGATATATTAAATTAGTTCTGGTCCATTCGCCTCTATTGGTTACCAGACTGGCCATTCAACTTGACTGGTGTTTTTCTTAAATAATTTTGGCCCAAATTCCGTGGTCCATTCGCCTCTATTGGTTACCAGACTGGCCATTCAACTTGACTGGTGTTTTTCTTAAATAATCTGGTTTTGAGTAAGAGCATATTCAATGGGACAGTGCATAACAGTTTTTTTTTAGCTTAATGGAGCTGAATTTAGGTTAGGGCTTCTAATTAAACTTAACTGTAACCAACCCGTTTTAAACTTCATTGACTAAATGTCAATCTAGAGTTTTTCATGGGAATTGGTGGTGGTGGCAGAGCATTTAACATGAAAACTGGGAGAATGCAATAGCACTGTGCTTTGGGTGGCAATGGGAGGAAAACAATGTTACGAAGATGTTGTCCTGAATTCGGTGTGGGAGCTTTTTTATAATTGTCTTTTGGTTGTAATAATTTTATGGCGAAATCTAATACTGCTGCAAATGTCCTGAGGGGACTGCATTCTTGTGTCACATTGATTTGCTCCTTTTTGATATATTGCGAGTGTCTTTTTTCTTGTTTAAAGTCCTTCTTACGTTCTTTTCTCTATTGAACTTAAGTTCTCTATTTATTTTTCCTTTTTTTTTATTTTGTTGACCTAGTTGCTTAAATTTTCTTGTCACGAGTTATTTGCAAAGCCCGCATATTTCTGTTATTCAAGTGTATTTTCTGTTATTTGAGTTGCATTACTTATATTATTATGTTTCAGTAAATTGGTAATACTTGTTAAGTTGCCTGCCACTGTTTCCATTTCAGAAATTTGAACTTCTCAATCTTTCGCTTTTTGCAGAGCATAGAACAAATTGGGAACAGGGCAGATCGCATGAGAATCACGTCAGAAGATCTGTACCTATATTCTAGCACAGATGTTGAGGTACATATTTCTTTAATGCTCTTCTTCAATTTTCTATAGTATCTGTTGTTGTTTGTGCTTAAGGATGGTTGCGAGAATGCTTGATTTACATACATATTACTTTGGCTAAATGTATACACGTTTGAAGTCATTGATGCTTGCCCTCGATGGTTAAATAAAAACTAATAATTTTTGTCTAGAAGATTTTCAATTTATCCTATTTGCCAAAATTGTCTTTCTGAAAATTATATTTCCTTGAGGTGGCATGTCAACATGAAATCTATACATTAATTGATTACCTTCAGAATATGCATACCATCATGTTAAATAAGCGGTACCTCTTAATGAAACATAGCACGTAGAAGCCAAGAGGAGTTGGTTAAGTAATGAATTTGGCGAATCATGCTTCTTTGGTTCTTTAATGCAGGTTTATTATGTGTGCGTGTTTGCCTCTGTTTCTATTTTTGTGTGGTGACTGTATAATATTCACATATAATTTACATATCTTCTTATTGTTACATTTAAAGGATGTTTGAGATCACTTTTAATTCTTAATTTTATTTTATTTAATATATACTTTTATTTGAAATAAAATATATTTGATATGTAATAACGTCTTTAGTTATTTTTAAAAACCCTCAAAAAAACTTCTACATGCTTTGAGTGTTTTTAAAATTAAAAAAAAAAAAAAAAAAAAAAAAAAAAAAAATAAAAAAAAAAATTTTTTTTAAAAAAAAAAAAAAAAAAAAAAAAAAAAAAAAAAGTGAATCGAAAGAAGCTGTTAGGATTATGGATTCCAGAAAATTGCTCTTTAATCAACTCACCTATAAAATCCTGCAGGTGTTTAAAGGAAACTCTAATGGATCGCATTTGCATCTCAAACCTCTTAGCCTGCAGAAATAGAAGGATAAACACCTCATTTTCTTTTTCCCTGCTAGTCTTTAGAAAATGGAAATTCTCATAGCAATGCTTATGCACTTTATTCTCAAAATACATTGCAAATAACCGGGAAAGGCGAGCACAAAATGATTTAATGTGACTAGAAATATAATCCATGAAAATGAACAAGTGTGTAAAATTATATGGTTCAATTAATGTTTTCAGTTATAAATGAGCAATTTGTATTTATATTAGCACTTTAATTTTGATACGATGCTTTGTTGTAAGTACTACTGTGCAGATGAAGAAGGAACCTGCTCATATGCTTAGTCTCTTAGTTTCTGGTTCTGGATATTGCATTAATTTATGGCTTATTTTTTTTGCCCCCTCACAGGACATACTGGATAAAGTACAAAATTTTTCCCCCGAGGCTCTTATTGTGGACTCTATACAGACAGTTTATCTGAGAGATGTTATTGGAAGTGCTGGAAACATCACGCAGGCTCGTTCGTAAAACATTTCACTTAAACATGTAGCATACATTTCCTGTTTTCTAATATATTCATATTTTATGAAATATGCAAATCCTGAACTGGTTCTTAGCCTTCGCTCCATTAGTCGGAGATTACACAATCTATCTGATGTGCTTTACATGCCTAGTGTTTATATCTTTAGTTTTTATGTCTCCCAGGTGTATTATAAGTTGATGAGATAAAATATGTTTTTTTTTTATTGTTTGTACCCTTTATTCTTATTGTACTTGCGTTGGCTTTTAAAATTTCATCTCTTCTAAAATCTGAAAAATGGTTTTCCGAAAAATTTAATTGATTGAATTGAATTTTTTGGGCTTACTGTTCATAACTGAGTCTTTATTGTTTCAATTGCCGTGATTGATTGATAAATTTCACATACTACAAGGTGAACTGATCTCTTTGTGGATTTTTCTAGCACAGTACATGAAGAGAAGGTTAGAATTTCTTTTATTTTGCTAGTCCAAGATTCCCTGAAGTATGGCAATATAATGCATGAAAACTTTTTATCTAAGAGCTTTTGATAATTTTTTATATCACATACTAAACTTGAAAAATAGAGCTTAGATTGACCACAATTCAGGAATATATGAGTATGAACAGGACTTCGTTTCAAGTGTGAGCACCGTACCTCCTGGCATTCTTTTCTCTCTTATAGCCAACTTCTCACCAGGTGATTGTCCAGTTTTGATATTTATCACTTGAGTGTTAGGTTGCCAAGTAATTGTAAAATTTTCATAAAGCCCAATGAATTCAGTTGCATTTCATTTAAATGGCTTCCTTCTTTTTTTTCTTTTGAGGATTTGCTAAGAAACAATACCTGATATATGATCTTATCTGGTGTTTTATGACATTCATTTCATGTGGATTTAAAAATTGTTTGGTATTAAGAGAGCTGTGGGAAGCATTATTTCCTTGTATTCATTTTGGTGGCACAATCATATAAAAAACAGCTTGAAGAATCTTTGAGATATATTCTTCTTTGCTACTATTTGGATTTTATGGACTGAAGAAATGCTAGATGGTTCTCTAACATTAACTTTATTAAAGATGACAAGTCTGTTGTTTGAGATTTACTCTCTTGCATATTTTTTTACTTCATGTCAAGCGTCTTCTACCATCAGAATTCATCTTTCTGATCCTCAGCTTCCAGAGAAACAATTTGATCTTTTTAGCCATTGTTTAATCTTAAGATTGATGTCTTTTTGGTTTTTATGTTTGTTTTCTCCTTAGTGATTAACCTTCTCCCTGTCTTGTTCTCTTATTTTAATTAGAAGTCTGTTATTTGAGATTTACTCTTGCATATTTTTGGATATTATTTGCTTCATGTCTAGCGGCTTCTTCCCTCAGAATTCAACTTTCTGATCTTCAGCTTCCAGAGAAATAACTGATCATTTTGCCACTGTTTAATCTTAGTATTCGTGCTTTTTTTTTATTTCTCTATTTTTTTTCTTCTTAGTGATTAACCTTCTCCTATATCCTTTTATCTTATTTTACTGAGAAGGTTTCCTCCCAGCTTTTCAAAAATAATATAAAAAATTCAGAATTCCATTAAACTCCATAGAAATTTTGAATCAAGGCTTGGTACAGCCTAAAAAAGCCCCATCTTTTAAGAGAATTAACAATAATGTTTTTAGATTGTGAAGAACCCTTCTCATGTTGCATTTCTTGTCTAATTGTAGTGGAAGTGCAATGTTTTATGCATTATTATATTTCCCAGCTTCTGGTTCAGAGGTGTTCACATCTTGTTGATGTGTGAACTCCTATGCATTAAGTTGAACTGTCCCTGATATGATGGTTGCGATGTCTTACTATTACCTGCTATGATTTTACTTATTTATGGTTAGGGGCTTGCGTTATTATGAGATTTCTATTCATGATTACTTGGTGATGTAGTATGGATTAAACTTATCTTGGAGCATCAAGCTCTTTTACATGTACTTACAAAATTATTATATATGTCTGTTAGTATCATTCGCATTATAAAATAGGATTATAAATCCAGTCTCAATTTATTTATTGATTATGCACATAAAAAAAGTTACAGTGCTCCTACTCTTTTATTTTATTGTTATTCACTTGTATCCATTTTATGTGCTGCAGGTCAAAGAATGCACCTTGAAGTTGCTTCATTTTGCAAAGGAAACAAACATTCCTGTGCTTCTTGTACGTTGCTTTTCTTTTTAATCCTAAATTCTTAGACAAGAATATCATGCAGTGCATGATTATGGTTTATGAAAATATTATTTCTGCAATTAGTTATGATTTATTAATTTTAATTTCAGCATTACATAAAATCTTTATTTTAATCTTTTCAGATTGGACATGTCACAAAAACTGGAGATATAGCTGGTCCTCGCATGCTGGAGCACATGGTGGATGCTGTTTTATATATGGAGGTTGGATCATCTTGCCAAATACTCGTTTCTTAATATATTTTGTATGCAGGAGAGAACAGTAATCAATGCTCGTAGTTTAGGATTTTTAAATTCCCTCCGCATCAAGTTCAAAGTCTTAATTTTAAGGGAAACATTGTTAAATCGTCTCTAATGCATTCTATTGCAGTAAGAACTAATTTTGGTATGTGAATGTTTACTTTCTTATTTAATGTAAGAGCTAATTTTTTAAACTGAATAATGAACTTTCTATCACGACCCGACCCATTGAGCTTGAAATTATCAAGGAGAGAACTGACGGTCGGACGGAGGAAACCTGTCTAACAGTTTCATTTCTTAACATAAAATAAAAATTTTTAACACAAAAGAGTCATTCTAAAAAAAATCTTATCTTTACAATAAATTGTTAATATTTAAACTTTTACATTCAATAGAAAATAAACTAAACTGTAATACCTATCGGTGTCTGTACGAGTACTCCCTGGAGTCTATCTAATTTACATCTGGTTTTCTAGTAAAAATGTTAACAACTATTGTTTGAGTTAAAACTAAGTGGGTAAATATTTCTAAATTATAATAATTCTCATTTTAAATTATTTTGCAAAAGAACAATAAAAGAAAATGACTGTCCAGTAAAAGAGAGTAGTAAAGAAAATGATTTCATTTTCTTTCATTTATTTAGGTTACACTTTTTATTATTGGGAGTCATCATCTAAATGTATACTTTATAAAAATATATGTTTAATATTTTTAAATCCACCATAATGGTAGATATACATTTCCATTTCCATTTTCATTTTCATTTTGTGCACGGGTATAATACATTCCCCTGCCAATACCATCCAGGGTGACTCTCATATGCATGCATATATCATATTTTATTCATTTTTATCTTGCATTTAACATTTAAAAGAAAATTTGCATTTAACATTTAAAAGAAAACATGAATTTTTGTATTTTAAAAATAAAGTTGGGAAACAATAAAAACATGCATAAATAAATAGAACTAATGTAAAATGAAAACATATTACCCACCTCAACAATGTCATATGCTACCTTTTTTTTTGAGGTCAGTCTAGTCCATAGGTACATCTATAATAACAATTTAAATGTAATTAACTTTTTATTCAATGCTAATTTTTTCTTCTATTGTTTCTAGATTTTCTATCATTAAGTTCATAAGTTTTTTATTTACCTATAAAAAGATGTAACTATACATATATATGTACATATATGAGCTAAACATATATACATACATATGTAGGAGTATCCAATTTAATTTTTTTGTTAAAACTTTTAAAATTTTCATTTGGGCACCTAAGATTAATAACAACTTAATTATAAATAAGTTTTAAATTTAGGATTCTTCCTTTCATTTTAACATTAATTAATTAGGAAAGAAATAATAAAATTTTAAAATTGAACTTTATACTGGAATTTCCTTTCTGACGGGTTTTCTTACGAATCTAGCCTTCTTCAAACTTGCCATAAACAAATATAAACAAGATTTTAATTTATTTGAAATGTAAATTTTCTGAATTTAATCTTAATAAATTAAAATTAATAATTTAAATTAAATTAAAACTAATTAACTTAATATTTATCTTTTTATTCCTCTGCGTTGCCGTAAAGTCAAGCCTTCCTTCACATGCAGAGTTGCTCCCGCATGCAAATTAAAGCTCCTGCGAGCCCTTCCTTCCTGTCCGAGCTGTAATTGGAATAGTTGTAATTGGACTCGAAGGTCGGTCTCAAAGGAATAGCCGTAATTGGACTCTCCCATGAGCGGTGGAGTTTCGATCGAATGAGGTGTCGTAAACACTAATTTAAATTTTTTGACATAATTAAGTTAATTATTTATTTATGATTATTTATTATTATTATTACTATTACACTTTCTGTCTTGGATGGTTATATTTTCACGTTATGCTCTCCCTCATCAGGACTTCTCCTTGAGTTTCATTTTGTCGCTCTGCTTCCTTGACCCTCTTCTGCATATTAATTCCTTTAATTTCTGCAGTCCATTTGTCTCTTGCTTAATGCTCTTCCTTGTTCACTTTAGGGGTTAATCATGCATTGGACGACTGAACTACACTGATAGAGGAGAAAATTTGCTGTTTTGTTTGATAGATATCCTTTTATTTATCGCAAGTGAACTAATATATTGTTTTAGGATATATTAAATTTAACATATTCCACTCTTCAAATATTGAGAATATTTGTAATATAACTTTTCGCTAACACCCTCCACATGATGTAACATGTGTATCAATTACCTTCAAATTATTATATAAGCAAGAGAGACGTTTCAAAGTTTTGGTACCTTTAGTAACTACTTGTTTTGAACTAGAGACATGGAGGTGATAGTCTCCTTTGAAAGCAAAAAAACCCATATAAAATGGCTATTAATTTCAATATGTTCTGCTGGCAATATAGAATTGTAGATGGTGTAACGATACAATATTATAAGCTGAGTAACTTGAAAATCAAATTATATTGAAAATGTCTTTACCTGCATTATTTTACATGTAAAGTAATTTCACACGTGGTGGACTGGAGTTCCTTACTTAGCTTCAATATTGGATTTGGTTACTATTTTTTTTTTTTTTTTTTTTTTCAAGTGACCATGCTCTCTCAAACAAAAAATACAATATCTTAAGATGGACTTTCTATATTCAAATGAGCAAAGCATATTCAGCATTTAAGAATGCTTCAACATCTTGGTGCTTAGTTTTAAGTATGTACTAAATTTTTTAGGAGATGTGTGATATACTTGATTCAAAGAACTTCCTCCCAGTATTTCCATTTGGAGTTTATATCTGCTATCTAACAACTCCAACAACAAATAAGATGTCTAATGTTGAGCTGTGGAGCCTGGAAGAGTACCTGCAACTGCAAGAAGGCACGCTAAGTAGCAAAAAGTTTTCTGGCACGATGCACCCGTGCATGGACGAAGCACCCACACCTCGCCCGCACCCTTATGGGTGTGTCTGCATGCCCCCGTACCGATTTTCGGGCTCCTATGCGCCCGACTATAGATAGCACGACATTTATGCGCCAAGGAGTGTTGCGGGTGCGCCAAGTGCAGTTCCTCTTCCGATTCAGTCTAAATTTGCTATTTCGAGCGACGAAAGGAACTCTCTCGCGTATGCTTCTCTCGATAGGTCAAAGAGGATTTCAGCGTGCATTTCTCTTTTGAGATCGAGAGGAAGGGTTTAAAGCAATGGTCTTTAAGTTTTATTCATTGTAGAGAGGAGATCTGAGTGACTAGTTGTCGGCACAAAAAAGAAGAGGTTGTTTGGGGGTCGTCTGTAAGAAGCTGTCGGCAGCCAGAATTGAAATCCCATCGTCCGCTTCGGGAGGACATTTTAATTTACGTATATATATATATAATTTTAGAAAAATATGAAATCAAACTGACCTCATATTTTTCGCAGTTTAAATGAAAGAGCGCTCTA